TGTGTGTGTGTGTGTGGCGCTGTTTACGTGTGTGTCAGTGTGTGGTAATGAGTGTTTTTACGCACGCACACACACACACACACACACACACACACGTTAATAATTTATACATTCACTATTGGTTTATTCGCCAATTTTATGACCAATTTACCTGACAATTAATTCGTTATTAACTAAGCCAATTAATGATTCATCACCTTATCCATTTATTTAATTACTGACTTCACATTAATTGAAAAGCTAAAAGTTGATAGGAAAAAAAAAAAGATTATATATTTCCCTGAGTTTGAATTAATTAATGAAATTATATCGATATAATTAAACGTAGCCAGGGAGTCAATTACCTGAGCGTTGTATTAAGCAAATGACGTCAATTTCGGTAATGGACTCAGTTCATTATATTGGTCCTGGTGCTGACTGACGTGTTCTGTTCGTGTTAGTTTCCAAAATATGTGTTTTTCCCTGTGTGTGATTGTTTTGTTTTTTTATTCTGGTCGGATACACACACAAACAAACACATACACACAGTTGGTTTACACGTGGGTATTCATTCATGTGTGTATAAAAGTACGTGTACACATTGGCGGGGGCAGGTTTTACTTTATATGTTAGAAAAAGGAACATACATACATACATACATACATACATACATACATACATACATACATTAGAGCTATTCTCTTTACATCAGAGGCTAGACTCCCCTGCCCCCCACCCCCTCTCTTTCAGCCTCCACCCTTCCCCCTTGCACCTACCCCCTCGACCCCCCTGCTCTATTCCCCCACTGCACCACACACACACACATTCTCCTCTTCCCCTACCCACCACCCCCTACATAACCACTCTCTTTCCCTCATCCCCACCATCCCATCCCCCTCTCCCCCACCTCCACCTCCCCTGTTCCGCAGTCTGTACTTTCATGTATTTTCCCAGGAACCTGTTGCTTAGTCCTCCCACAGCTTGGGTTTAATGGTGAGAAATAATGTCATTTTTCTCTTTCTCTCTCTCTCTCTCTCTCTCTCTCTCTCTCTCTCTCTCTCTCTTTCTCTCTCTCTCTCTCTCTCGTATATACATGTGGGATATAAGTGGGTGATTGTCTCTTTCTTAACTCTCATCAGTATATACACAATATATAGTTTACACAGCATTTTGAATTTTTTTTTTAATGTTATAGAATTGCAATTGGGCATGATGATAAGTAAACAAACAAACACACACACATACAAAGACAGACAGACAGACAGACAGAGAGACAGACAGACAGACAGACATACTACTATACTACTAAAAATACTACTACTAATAATAATCTTAGCTATTTATTTACACACACGTCACTACCTCCTTCATTTCTCTTCCTCTCCTTTATCACATATTCTCTCTTCATCTCTTCATCATATATAAAACAAAACACTTCCATAAGACACTTTCAGTATTATTGTCTCCTAAAACACTGTGAACTCTTGTAAGAAAAATGTACCTGTGAGAGTTTTAATTTGGGAGTAGAAAGTGTTTTGTGTGTGTGTGTGTGTGTGTGTGTGTGTGTGTGTGTGTGTGTGTGTGTGTGTGTGTGTGTAGGGTCAGTGGTGACTTGACATCAGTAATATTTAATGAGTGGAGAGAGAGAGACTACAATGCATGGAGCATTTTCTCAAGCACTCTAGCTCTCCTTCCTCTGAGTTACGACTCTGTGAAAGATTTATACCCAAGTTGCAAAGAAATTCTACATAGAATATGTTTGAGGAGAACGTTCAGGGTGTGAAAGTGGAAAGTGAAAGTTGTGAGTGAAAATCGAAAATACAAAAAGTAGTAAGTGAAAGTTGTTAATAAAAATTGAAAGTGAAAGTCTGGAGTAAAAGTGTAGAGTGATAGTTGAATGTGAAAGTCTAGAATGAAAGCCGAGAACGAAAGCTTTGGGTGAAAGTCCAGAATGAAAGAAAGTGAAAGTGACAAAAGTGGAAAGTAAAAATTCTAAAGGGAAAGTTGTGAGTGAAGTTGGAAATGAGAGTGTAAGGTGAAAGAGGAAAGTGAAAATCAAGAGTGAAAGTGAAAAATGAAAGTGAAAGGCAAGAGTGAAATTAAACACAAATGTCTTGAGTGGAAGTCAAGAGAGAAAGTTCCAAGTGAAAGTTTGAGTGAAAGGTACATTAAACATGAACAAAGTTTCGAGAGGTTCACAAATCCTCAAACTATACGAAACTACGAAATCTCAAGAAATTTCGAAACCACACTAAGCTTTGAATCTTTACTAAGCTTCGATATGTCACAAAGCTTTGAGGTCGCAGTCACTAAGCTTCCATGCCTCATTGAAGCTTCGAAACCATTAGAAACTTCGGAACAGTCACATAACGTCAAGACCTCACAAAACTTTAAAACACCAAGTAACTTTTCGAAACTCACGAGGCTTTAAAACGCCAAATAGCTTTTCGAGGTCTCATAAAATATTCAATGCCTTGAATAGTTTTCGAGACCTCACGGCTCCAATGCATTAAATAACTGCTCGAAGCTTCAAACAGCACCGGTAAACATAATAATAATAATAATAATAATAATAATAATAATAATAATAATAATAATAATAATAATAATAATAATAATGATAAACGCTCGTAAGTCGATAAGAAATAGGAGTTTCTGGGGTCGAATTTTAAGAGGTGGTGGTTGCGTGTCTATCATTCAGTTCTGTCTGTCTGTCTGTTTGTCTGTATGTCTGTCAGTATGTCATAATAATCACCCTTATCTTCTTCTTCAGCACAGACCTTAGATTGAGTATACCACTGTCATGCCGTTTACAAGAGACTGCTACAAAAATGGCAACGTTCTGTCATACAATTGGCAAAAATCCGCCGACACGTATGACAATGGCTCCCCCCCCCCACCCCCCCATTGTCATAAAATTTAACTGAGGGTTTCATGACAGGTGTGAGAGGCCCCGACAAAGGGTCCATTGGTGGACATATTTACAGTAGACTTTCACGCTCTCTCTCTCTCTCTCTCTCTCTCTCTCTCTCTCTCTCTAGCCATGTCTGTATCTCTCTCATTCATTTTTTTTCTCTGTCTCTTTCATCTCATCTTCCTCTTTCTCTTTCACTTTATCTCTTTCTTTTCTCTGTTTATCTTTTGTTCTCTTTTTCTCTATCTCCTTTTCACTTTCTATTACTCTGTCTTTTCTTACGATCTCTCTCTTTCTCTTTTCTAACTCTCTCTCTCTCTCTCTCTCTCTCTCTAACTCTCTCTCTCTCTCTCTATCTCTTTATATCTGTCTTCATGTTTCTCCTTCTCTTTCTCTTTCTTAGTTTCTTTTTCCTTATCATTTCTTTCCTCTCTCCCTTTTCTCCCTCTCTCTCTCCTCTCTTTTCCTTCTCCCTCCATCCTCCCTCTCCATATCAACCTCTCTTTCACCCTTCCATCTTCTCTTCATTCTCTCCTTCTCTCTCATTCTCCTATCTCCCCTTCTCTTTCTCCCTTCCCCTCTTCCTCTTCTTCTCTCCCTGCTATTTTTCACCTCTCCCTTTCTCTCCCTCTTTGCCCTCTTCCCTTCTCTCTCGCGCCTCACCCCCCTCCCTCTCCCCCCTCTCTCTCTCCCCAGCTTCACCTCCCCCCCTTCTCTCCCTCCCTCTCCCTGACACAGCTCACACGGCGCCTTTTACGGTTCAGTTTAACACTTGCTTCTCCTCGTGAGCCAGGAGTTGGTCGCTTCCAAAAGGTAAACACCTCGGCAAGAATTTTTTTTTTTTACTACACTGGAGTCAAGTACAAAGATCTCGAGGCTAGGGTTTACAGACTTCCTGAACGTTAACCGATAATAGTTTGATAGAGTCCCTGGGTAGTTTGGTCTCCTATCTGGTGCTAAGTTAATGTATCAAGTTAAGATAAAGTCTCCTAGTTGGTGTTTAGTGAAAGTACCACCTTGTTACACACACTCTCTCTCTTTTCATTTTCTCCTCTCTCTTTCCTTCTCCTTCCTCACTTTCTTCCTTTCCCTTCCTATCTCTCTCGTTCCTTCACCCCTTCTCTCTTTATTCCTTCTCTCTCTCTATTTTCCCTCCCTATCTCTATAATCTATAGTCTTCACCCTCCCCATCTTTCTCTTTCCTTCTCTCCATTCCTCTCGTTCCTTCTACTTCCCCTCCTCCCCCTCTCTCTCGCTTTCTCTTGGTCGTCAACACAGAAGAGTGCTGGTCTTCAGGGGGTGCTGGTGCTGGGGGGAGTGCTGAAGAGGTGCTGGGGAGTGCTGGGGGGCTGGTGCTGAGGTGCTGGGGGGCAGGGGGTGCTGTGGGGGGAGTAATAACTGCATCTTGGTCAGGTCGGTAAGTACCACGGATTAAGACACAACACTATGGCTGACAAACTGTGGATCATCTCGGGTTAATCCTCCTCTTGTTTTGGTTAACGGGAGAGACAGAGAGAATAGGGGTTCAAGCCGTTATCGTTGTTTATGAAGGCTTTACCGTTTACTGTTAGTCTCTGTTGTTGTTGTTATATTTTATTTGTGTCTGTTTTTTTTTTTTTTTACTGTTGTGGGTAATAACGGAAGGGGGAGGATAGGGGGTATACTGTTATTATTTTGGTTATAGGATTCATATTTCTGTTTGTTTCTGTTGATCATTCTGTTGTTGTTTTTTTGTATTTATCTGGTGGTCTGGTTTATCTTCCCATTATTATTGAATTTACATATATATCCCATTACAGGTGTACGTGTTTCTGATTAGTTACTCAATTACCTACATCTGTTATAAGCCGTAACACCTGCGGTCTCTCTTTCTGTCTCTTTATCACTGTCTCTCTCTCTATCTCCCTGTCTGCCTATCTGTCTCTCTCTCTCTCTCTCTCTCAATATATAACCCAGCACAAGAGTACCTTATCATTAAGATCAGTTGAATGCGAAAACACCTGCATTCTCTCACTCTCTCTGTTAATGTCTCTCAGTGTTATCTCCCTGTTTATCTCTCTGCTAATGTCTCTCACCCACTTATCTCCCCGTTTCTCTCTCCCCATAGGACGACAAAAGATGAGAGACCACGCCTTCTCTCTCCTCTGCATTGCGGCCTTGAGTGAGTACCATCTCTTTGTTTACTAACACTGACACTTTCTCGGATGCTTTTGAGGATGAAACTTAACCTAGACGTCGAGGCAGATCGGTCACTGAAGACAGAGGAACAAGTGAGAGAAAGAGAGACAAAAAAAATTAATCATAACAGTTAATTGTAATCTAGATATAAACCATAACTTAAAATCCAAAGAAAAGAACAAAAAAAATTCCCCCCTACTAAGGTAGATCTGACAGACATATAAATTTTTGGAAGGGGATTATAAAACGTGAATCCAGGTCAGTTTTTCGCGATGTCACACACCACTGACATGAAGAGGATACGACCCTGAAACTCGTCACGTTATAGACGAATATATGGACTTTACACAGAGGCTGGTAAACCTAAAGACGAGAGAACAGGTCATTGGTCTGCTTCCATAGGTCACCTCTTGTTGTGGTGGTCATAGTGAGGATTAGGTCAATAACGTGGGGTAATAAGAGGTCTTGGCCCCAGCTTGACTTATGAGATGTTTACTGTGAGAGGAAATATGATCATAGTGTGACTTATAATACAGTACACGGCTTGTCCTCGGTGAAGTGGTTACATTGCTGTATTAAGTGTGATACGATTATTTAACTAGTTGAGTACGATGACTTAACTACTTGAGTGTGAGGATAAAACAATGAATACGATGAAACGCAGACAGACAGACAGACAGACAGACAGACAGACACCGCCCAGTTATTAGCCTTAACACACACACACACACACACACACACACACTTTATTAAAAAAAAACACAATAACAAATTCAACTCTCCACCTCTATCGATCTCTCCAGGGTGTGTGAGAGAGAGAGAAAGAGAGTGAGAGATATTGATGTTGTCTCTCTGTTTATTCTCTCTCCCAACTCACTTGTTCTCGTGTTATTGAAGGCGTCTTTCATAATTCACCCTTGTCGTCTCCCCAATGGCGTCGTATGGAGTGGATTTATTGGTGTCAAGTGTCGTGTTTTTTTTTAATCTGTTGTCGTTTTGCTAAGGATTTGTGGGTGAGTTTTAAGAATGTTTTTTTTTTCTTTTATAAAGTGTCGTGTTTGGAGATGATTTTTCTGGTTTGTTTTTAATGTTTTAATGAGGTGGTTTTTTTATTGGTTTATTGGTTCATTCTATGTGGTTTAATAGTGTGTGATGTTTTATTGACGTGTTTTGTATCATTTTATTGGCCTTGGTTTATGTGGTTTAATAAGTGTTTATCATCTTGTTTTATTGGCGAGTTTAAGTATCACTGTTAAATGCTGGAATCTGTTGTGTTTTAGGAGGTTTATTTTGGTTAGAGAGGCATCAATAAACTCTCTCTCTCTCTCCTTTATCTTATACTCTCCTGCCATCCCTGCTTTTTCTCTTTTCGCCTCTTTCTCTCCTTCCCTCCCTCTCTTTCTCTCCCTCCATCTGCTGCCTCTACCCCTTCCTCATTTCTCTTTTCCTTACATCTCTCTCTCTCTCTTTATTCTCTTTCCAACGTTTCTCCCTCTTTCATTTTTCTCTCATTCTCTCCATTTCCCTCCAACCCTTCCCCTCCCTCTCTCTCTCTCTCTCTCACTCTCTCTGTCTCTCCCTCCCCCCCATCACTCTCTTTCTCTCTCTCTCTCTCAGCCGTAACATATTACCCCCAGTACCAGGGACCAGTACCAGGGACCAGTACCAGGGAGACTCTACTGGGTGTAGTCTCCTTGTCCACTTCCGCCACTCCGCCAAAGGACGAAAGATCATTTGCATGTTCAGGATGTTGCCACTGACTCACTGACAACCTGTGTTTATGGGAGACGATGCTAACTTTCTGGTGAGAGAGAGAGAGAGAGAGAGAGAGAGAGAGAGATGACGTCTGTCTGTCTCAATATTTACAGAAGAAACATTCGCTTATTATTCACAATTACTCTCATGAATTTAGTGAGGTGTAATTGGCATTATTATCACCGCCGGACCAAATTACTTAATTATAATTTTTCCTTTACAAATAGTCTGGTAATGAATCAATTTTTAACACTGAAACAACTCTGGTGTCTAATGTTAGCTCTATAGTTTAATGAAGGATATGAAACACTATCCGTGTGTGTGTGTGTGTGTGTGTGTGTGAACAACACCAAGACACAAACACGGGGTCATCCTCTCTTGTCTACACCCGCCAAACTCTCCCTCCTTCCCCTTCCTTTCCTCCCTCATCCTCCCCTTCCCTATCCCTCCCTCCCTTACCCTTCCTACCCTCTCTCCCTCCCATTCCTTCCCTCCCTCATCCTCCCCTTCCCTATCCCTCCCTCCCTTACCCTTCCTACCCTCTCTCCCTCCCATTCCTTCCCTCCTCATCCCTCCCTTCCCTATCTCCTCCCCTCACCCTTCCTACCCTCTCTCCCTCCCATTCCTTCCCTCCCTCATCCTCCCCTTCCCTATCCCTCCCTCACCCTTCCTACCCTCCCTCACCAGACCATAACTCACTAAACTCACATATATATATTACATGGCAAAATGGGCCAGAAATCATGAGTAATTCCCGTGTTCTATGACTTTCCAGGGGTGACCAATGTAGCCGTAACTCACACTAAAAATTCTTTGAAGTCGTCCCCCTCAAATTGCTGAGTCATCATAGCTTCAAGGAAATCGACTAAGTTCATCCTCGTTCATCGTCTTCTCTTCTCTGTCATTAGTGGTGTCATGATTGATTTTTTTTTTGCTTGCTTACTTGCTTGCGTGTGAAGGAAACAAGACTCATTATGGTTAATTTGTCGTTAATATTCTACTTGAGGACCAGAAGAACCTCCTCGTAGATAAACTATTTTTGGTTACGAAGGTGAAATAGTCTGTTGGTGAGGCCGAAAGAGGTTGTAAAATATAAGTGAAAGTATCCTCTCTCTCTCTCTCTCTCTCTCTTTAGATAGTGCCCCGTCGCAATAAAACCAGGAGCACACAAAGTCATTTGTCTCCAGTCGAGTTATGTTTTAAGAGATAAACTTTATGTACAGATCCACCATGTCTTAAGATCTGCGGTGAGGCGTCCATCACTAGCCAGAGCCTCTACGACTAGCTACTTTCTGCTTGCAATGTATATAGATAAGATGAATAAGCTTCAACATGTACCTGCACAGGCTTCCCTGTGGGGTGGGGTGGGGGGTGACGTGGTATTCCTGGTGTATGGTTTAGGGACGATGGTAAAATTCAGTCAGTTGTTATGTTACACCAGCCAGCCCACCTTATCAGCCCACCAACCCACTGAGCCAACCCACCAGCCAGCCCACCAGGAAGTTGTTAATAAGTTCGCCATATTCTGGGCTGTGAACACGGAGGCGCCGAGCCATACCGTTATAAGTTAATGGTAATGGAAGCACCACCAGCAGCAGCAACAACAACAACAACAACAACAACAACAACAACAACAACACCAACACCAACAACAACATCAACAATGGCATGTCTGTTTTACGGCTCTGAATCATGGCTCACTAGTAACCTATAAAACCAAATTATCTTGTGTTTCATAGAGTCGGGAATACAGCCGAGAAAAAAAATCCTAATAAAAAAAAAACGAAGGATAAACTTTAAATTCAGAGCAGCGAGAACTGGATATAGAAGAACCATCCAACATAGTGTTAAAAATATGCCAAACTCAACTCGGTTATAAATTTAGTAAAGAAAGAATACAGATTGATATATATACAAATCGACTCACTACAACCATTCACGTCAAAAATAATCCATAAAGTGTAACTAAATAATATAATTTATAGGGTCAGAACTTAACCCAACTAACGCTGTACATGACAAGAAAATACTGAATATATCCATACCCGGGAAGACTTATTAGGTTTGACCAGAGAACAAAAGGTGTGTCTCAGTGTGATAATGTCAGTGTACAGGATGAGAAACATGTCTTAAGAGAGTGTGGTCTGTGCTACTTGTGTTACTGTGCTACTTATGTTCTGTGCTACTTATGTTCTGTGCTACTTATGTTCTGTGCTACATATGTTCTGTGCTACTTATGTTTTTTGCTACTTATGCTCTGTGCTACTTATGTTTCTGTGCTACTTACGTTCTGTGCTACTTACGTTCTGTACTACTTATATTCTGTGCTACTTATGTTCTGTGTTACTTACGTTCTGTGCTACTTATGTTCTGTGCTACTTACGTTCTGTGCTACTTATGTTCTGTGCTACTTATGTTCTGTGTTACTTATGGATAACTGTGACGTGATGTATAACTCGTGTAAATTATTCACGCGATGTTGTAAAATGTTTAGAATAATTTTTTTTTTAATATATATTTTGCACCTTGTAGTTTGTTGCTCAATTATCAATTATTTCCTTAGACACTGTATGTATAATTTGATGTATTTGTATTGCTCTGGTACTGTAATTTATGTATCAACCAACCAACAACTAATTAATCAACTAACTAACTAACTAATTAACTAACCAACTAACTCTAACTAACTAATCACTAACCAACTAAAACCAACTAACAACTAACTAACTAATTAACTAACTAACCAACTATTAACAACTTAAAACTAACTAAAACTAACTAACTAATTAACTAAAACTAACTAACTAACTAAAAGTAACTAACTAAACCAACTAACTAACCTAACTTAAAACTAACTAACCACCAATTAACTAACTAACTAACTAACTAACTAACTTAAACTAACTAACTAACTAACTAACCAGAGTCTACTGATAGGTGATCGGGCCGGAGAGGGAGGAAGCTTGGGATGACGAGGTGGAGGAATTTTGGGGGGTAGGGAGTAGTGGTGGTAGGGGGTGGGGAGGTGGAGGTGGTGGTGGTAGGGTGGTGAAGGGGAGGTAGTGGTGGTGGTGGGGGGGTGAAGGGGAGGTAGGTGGGGGGTGGTGAAGGGGAGGTAGTGGTAGGGTGGTGGGGAGGTGGGGAGGTAGTGGTGGTGGGGGTGGTGGGGGTGGAGGGTGGTGGTGAAGGGGGGGTGGTGGTGAGAAGGGGGAGGTAGGGGTGGGGTGA